TAGATAGATAGATAGATAGATAGATAGATAGATAGATAGATAGATAGATAGATAGATAGATAGATAGATAGATAGATAGATAGATAGAAGCTTACTTTCCAAAAGATTTGCAATTTTTCGACTAAGTCAGACTCACCACCCGTAAGACAAAACGGGGACGAGCACGTAGGACGGCCTTACGTAAACATATCACCTAAATGATTGCCAATTAAGAGGACCCCTTATTTTGATGATCCACCTGGGAAAAAGAACATCCTCCACAATACCTTTAACTAGTTGTTACTAAAATTTGAGAGGCAGATTTTTTTGTTATTAAGCTTCTCTCCAGTGGAACCAAGTTTGAGATTTAATCTGAGGCATACACTCTGTCCACTTTTAAGGCTAGGCTTAAAACTTTGCAATTTGACAATTTGGACAATTTGGACAATTATCCTTAGCTATCCCTATAGTAATGCTGCTATAGCATTTGGCTACTGATGAACATAAAGACCACTTTTCCTGCTTCGTCCTGCTTCTATTCTTATATTTTGCATTGGTTTTCTGTGTCTGCCTTTGTCTCCTTAAACCCCTTGTCAGTCACAGCAGCAGTTCTCTTCTCACTGGGCATGGTTTTGCTTTATGTTTATCCTTATTTTAAAAAGGAGTTTCTTCTCCACTGTCACTACATGCATGCTCAGCATAAGGGATTGCTGCAAAGATGAAATGCAAGAGACCCTTCACTGTTGTTACATGCTCATTCAGGAGGAGTAAATTCTGGAAAGCCAATGATTTGATGCAATCTTCTGAGTTTCCTTAGACAGAAAACTTAGAGAAAAGTCTGTCTGGATGGGTTGATTTTTTAATAAGTGGGCAAAAAAACCTCAAAGCTTACTGTCAGCAAAATTGCAATTTTTAGTAGTTTTCTCTTTATAAATCTGATCAACTCCATTTGAACTAAATTCAGTTTGTTTATATAGCACAATGTAATAACACATGACATCTCTTGTTTTTGTTTCTTGTTTTTTTGTTGTTGTTGTTTTTTTTTTTTTTTTGCTGAAAACAAACAAATGGTTCGGTGTATTTAAATATTCTTAGTGGGGCTCAGAGTAATAGAATGTTCTACAGACCCTTCACTGGTTTTTTATAGCATTTATAGGACTACATGCCTGTTTTGTCTCCTTAAGGAAAGTTTTGCTGAAGGTGTGTTTACACTGACTTTTAAAAATCTGCAATTTTTTTTATTTACATTGGCTTTTAATTGCTAACTAGAATTTATCTGTTTTCTTTATTCTAATTTGGCAAGTGTCTAAATACTTGATTAAACCAGCAGCTGAAAGCAGGACCGGGAGTACTGTAAATTCAACGAATTTATGCAATTCAGATTTGACTTGACCTTCTCGGCCGCCGTACTCCATTACATTGTTTGCTACGTCTGGCTGCGGTCGCTAAGTGAAAACATGTCTGAATATTCGCACGTAAAATCGACTAAACTTGTATTGAAAGGTCAAAATAAAGGGTAAGCATGCGTCTTTAGTCGTGCCATTAGTTTTTAGAAAGTGGTGCTGTTTGCGGTTAAAAATCTGACCCTCTCTGGATTAAGCTAATGCGTTAGCCTAAACTGTGACGTTTATAGTCATAAAATGTTCTAAGGAGCCCGTAGGTTCAAACATTTCCATTATTAAACAGGTTTTTGACAACGAAAACTTAATCAAAACGTAAGAAGGACTCGTTTGCTTATTAGTCCGCGATTCATACAGGTGGCTAATATGTTAGCTCATAGTGTTTACTGTTTTCATCCTTATTCAGTAAGTTGTAATTCAAATGATAACCTAAAACAGCTCCTTCCACAAACATTCACAGCAAGGTCTCTATATAAATACCTTTTTAGAGATTTGATCGTGTTTTCTTTCTGTTTGTTGATAGCTTTTCCCGAAATTAGCTATTTGATTTTATAGTAAACTATTGAAAATATTGATAATATATGTCAAATTTGCATTCATGTGATCACAAAGTTCATTTTAAATGTTGTTGTTTTTTCCCCACAGAAAAAAGAAAAAGAACAAGGATAAGAAGAGAAAATCTACAAATGACAAAGATAAGCTTGATATTATTGGTATGTAAATTCATTTATATTAGAACACATTTTAAAGTGTTTTAGGTCTGGAGAAGCTGTGTTCTTACTAAACAATGCCTTAGTTATGGGAGTACAGATTTTAATTAGACATTTCCCGGTTTTAAACCAAAGGCCTTGCATTTGAACCTACATATGTGATATGCATTATTATCAATACATTTCCTTTGACAGGGATTCTGAGTCCAAAGTAATATTTTTTGCTTCTGAAAATATTTTAAAGGTCCCATATTAATCTACGTTTGAAAATAAAAAAATATCAAGACTGAGGCTCCTAGAGTATGTTTGTGTTGTTTGAGCAGGACAATTCCTCTCAGATTAGGCAGACAGCCTTTACCAAACATCTTCTTATTCAGCCCTCATCTAGACAAACTGCTTTGACTGTCTACTTTCTTCTCCTCCCGAAGGCCGCACCCCCACAACTTTTAACCTTGACAACCAGTCATAGTTCGTCAAGATAGTGTAACACCTCTCTTTAGTTCTTGATCGGTGTTACAGACCTTTAAGGGTTGTGGGTGAATCAAAACATGAAAAGGGAGTAACTTTTCAGGAGCTACTTTATTCAATCTCAATCTATATCAACGTCTCCACCAGATCTGTTACCAAAACTCAAATCCCTCCGCCAGGGAACATTAAACCGTCATCCCTTTGCCAGAAATAGTTCTTAACAAGAAATATCACTCTAAAATTGTTAAAGAACATTTACATCAATGAAACTCAATACAATTGATATGGTTGAATTTAGATGAAATAGATTAATGTAATATTAGCTTTGGAGCATGAAATAATACAGAAGTTAAAGATCGGAGTTTGACCGAGGCATTATTGACTGCCCTGGACAGCTTAGACTGCTTCCGACTTTTTCATCTCCGATCAGATTTATTTTCCATGTCCCACTGACAGTGAATAGAGAGGATCCGAATTAACAGGGTGAGCAGATCTGTGGGGATGCTTTTTTCACTTCTGCCTCTGTGCCACACAAATTGAAACAATTTCCCACATTTGACTTGGACAGATTATGAAAAGTTATTAAAAATAGATAAATAAAAATAACAAAAAAACTAAAAAAAAGTGCAGCATTAAAGCAAAGCCCGACTTTATGAGTCCAGATGTCTTTTACTTTATCACTTCTCTCTTTCTGTCAGACCCATGAAATTACCACTGAATTGCTGTGTAGTCCGACTAAAATAGAGCTGGGGTCTATCTTGGTTAGAGCCCCCTGCAGAAAATCGTGTCAAGTGTGTTCTTTCCCATTGGCTCTCAGTGAATGCTAAACGCCATAACCTGAGTTTCTGCCTGGTGGAAAAATCATTTTCGGAGTGTTCAGGGTTTAAGGGAAAGGCTTTTCAAACAGACCATTTTGAGCAAACTGTAGCTAAAAGGTGGAAGAAGGCAGTAATGCAGGTGAAAGTTTTTTTTGTTTTGTTTTTTTTCCTCCATTAGTGAACCTCATACAGAGGTTTAAAGACACATATGACAGTCAAACCCAACTAGTTCTATAGTTTTTGTTTTGGTGTCTTACAGTCACCATATCTAATTCATTGTTCTTTCTGTAAGAACTAATAAGATACTAACTGATATTTGGGATTTCAGTCCTTATAAAAATGTATAAGTGCGTTAATAAATGGGATAGCTTTAAGATAACTGCTGGCAGAATAAATATGTACCGTTCTGTTGTAATCTCGTTTTTTACATGATCCCAGTTTGTTCAGATGCATAATATCTTTATGTAAAATGATATTAAGACTCTGTCGCCCAGCCATATCTGATTACTAGGGAGTTTGTTTTGTGATCACAGAGCGGTTCTCTAAATATAAATAACTTAACATTTGTCATCTGAATTACTTTTAATAAAACAAAATAAGCTTTACAAATAAAAAAAAAAGCCATGTTTTAAAATAGCTATCATCAACTAAGGTAGAGCGTGTGATTCAAGGTAAAAGGAAAAAAATTACGTAGTAATCTAACAGCATGTTTTATTTTATGCTCCCTAGGTGGTTGGTGGTGTGTCAGTGGTTTCGGAGAAATTGTTGGAACAGTTGCCATAGAGATGCAGAACAACTCGTACATTCATGCCCTGGATACAGGACTCTTCACACTTGGTGCACCACACAGAGGTATGAAGGATTTAGTTTGTCTATGCTGCTCTATTTTTTCTTTACCTTTTCAGTCTAATTACTTTCATTGTTCAGATTGAGCTGCTCATTATATCAGATTGCAGCTTTTATTATGCTATCCATGTTTGCAATTTTGAAAGCCCGCATGTATGCCATATCTATTGAACAATTATATTGTAGGTTCTGTACTGTGCATAACTGGGCAGTTGGATCTAAGTGAGTTAGCTCTTAAAGCACAAAAATACTGGTGGGACATTATGGTGGAAATAATCAGGACACTTTGGGTTAGTCACAACCAATAGCATCCTGCTACCTATATGCTATTGCAAATACATGCCTTCCTAATATTATGCAGCTCTCATTTATATATACTTAAAACATATTTAAGAAACATCTTTGTTCTTAAGCTGTTTGCTGCTTTTTTTGTCTGTTTGATTGTTTAAAGCAGCAGTGTTTAATATTTGCCTCCATTTAGTGGTATACTAAATTAATTACAAAAGACTAAAAAGCACATTCTGGTGCCTCACCAGCAAGCGTGTAAAATCTACGGAAGCTACCGAATGACCTTCTATTCTTTCTGATGGAGTGGATACATCAACCTCCATCACCATTGTCCAATAAGCTAGAATAAACAAGGAAATATGTGGAACCTGTATCTGAAAATAGCTGAAAGAAGCCTGCACTTTCGGCTAGTATGACTTCTGTGAAAAATAATTGATAATTGTTGAATTGGAGCTTATCCAATCATGGCTAAAAAGCTCCTAAATTGCCTCCACCTGGTAAAGCCACTGAAATAATGTCATTTGATCAGCTAAATATGGTTGTACTGAATTATGACTAGGGGTGGGTATTGGCAAAGAAGTCATGATTCGATTCGAATCACGATTCACATGCCACGATGCGATTCTATCACGATGCATCACGATACTTGAAATATTGCGATGCATCGTGATGCACTGCGATATTTTCACTGAACACTATAAGAAAAAGATACAGCCATTACCAGTGGCTGACTGGCTGTGTATGATCTGGATCGTGTCTTCAATTGATACATAACTGAAAGCAACTGAATTCATACATAGCTGTATTTACTGAAATGACTTTTGGAGGTGTTGCCATGAAAACAAATACTGGACAGAAATTTTACTATTACTGGTGTGAACACACTGACAAAAAGATCTTAGGATTCATCAAACTTAAGATAACAAAATAGGGATAATCAGTGCCATTTAAATGGCTTCAGTGGTCCTTTAAACCAATGAAATGAAAACATTCAAATGTATATTTCCCCTTTTGCAAATTACGTGCATCATATCAATTTCGTTTTTACCTTCTTTGTTTTTAAAGCCAAAATGCATCCAAGCATCTGACTTGAAATGATATGGAGCCGGGCGAATTTTCACAGTGTCCTCCATGTTTTGTTTACGAATGACTTGTCTCAGTATCCCGCGGCCGGACATGCTTGTGACACAAAGCAGCGGGCGTCAACACATCCGCAGCAATATCTGCTGGACTGGACGTTGTATTCCACTTGATTTGGCTGATGTGCGGCAACCATTCATGTATTTTATTTGTTTAAATTTTTTTTTATTAAGAATCGATTCTTGCCATCAAGAATCGATGCAGTAGATCACAAGAATTAGAATCGCGATGCATCGATATGACGATTATTTTGCACCCCCCTAATTATGACTGTATTGAATACTATCCGGATGTAACTATAATATTGTATTAGACTGGAATTAGTGAGTTGATTTGAATAGAAATCTGGACCAGTCTTGTTTTTTTATGATTTTGGCAATTTAACTGCATTTTTCAAGACTGCTTGAAATTATTGGAATTGATTAGCTGTGGTTTATTGAATATGATGATGGATGTTACTAGTAATAGAACATGGTTGTATTATTTGTTCTTAGTTATGAGGTCTTAAGTAGTTAATTTGGTTTTGAAAACAGAACACTGCAGCCTGTTAAGTAACAGTAATTCTACAATATAGATGTGAACATTTTCATTGTCCAATAGTCTAACAACGACAGGAAAGAAGACAGACCATACACAATTGCTCACCTGCTGACCTCTTGTATTTTAAGCCTATTTTTCTGGCTGAAATAATACCGCCTGATTCCTTTGGACATCTGTTATAAGTGGCATCCAACAATAACAATGCAATATGTTAGGAAAATATAATGAGCTGGAATCTGATAATCAGTATGCAGCAATTATAAACCCTAAAAACAGCAGAGCAATATGTGGAAGCTTAAAGTTTGAGCAGTTTAATTTGTCAATCAGGTTGCAATGTAACCGGCTGTATAGTTATTCCACTAGAGCAATAAAGACTTATTGTGGATGTTATCCTAGGTGCGTTTTGTGGAATTAGAATTGGCTTTTGGCTTAAGGCCAGGAGGTAGCTAAAAGTGTAAGTGGTAAAGCTGAGTTGAGGAGAAGGTCGTAGCTAATTCTCACATATTACTCACCTGTAGGCACTTCTGATAGAGGAGTGCTGATTAAACCAGTCTGCCCCGAAAAAGACATTGAAGACAATTAATTCTGCCCATGTTCAGAAAGAACATTCGATTCCCTTAGTGAGCCTTCCCTCTCTGCATGCATATAAGCCAATTTGTAAGAGATAAAAGATAGCCAAAGCTTCCAGTATAAAAAGGATAAATAGAGATTGTCTCTTTTTTCCTGCATTGTTGTACCTGTAATATCTCCTTTTGAAAAGGTGCATATCTGGTTGCAAATGTTCAGTGTAGCCTTAAAGATGCCCATATAGCCATTCAAAAACACTGTCTTAAAATCAAAACCTAACATTTGATGATGCATTTTGATTTAACGTATACGTTTGCTATAATAGCTATATAACTGCAAATCTCAGAAAGCTTTTGTGTTTAATACAATCCTGAGTCAAACCTTTATGGTAAAAGAAACAGTTTTTGTAAATAAACCTTAATATTTTAAATTTAATAGCAGACTGTAACCTTTCAACATATGTCTGTGTAATGCACACAAACACTGTATTCAGGAACTGTGTACAAACATATAGCATCCAGTCTTAATTAACCAAACTGGAGAGGGTTCTTGTCAAATTTCTCAATGTATTAAATTCCATGACGACCATTTGACAGCTTAAAGTACTTTTTGTCTTTTCCTTTCTATCAGTTCAGCAGTAGCCCCTTTCTTCTCATCAGATGCTCATGCCTCCTGCTTGTACTCCATTTATTATCAGCAAACCCTCCATTTATTATCAGTCATTAGAATGATTCCAATACTTTAGACCCCTAAATCATGAAATGCTTTAGTGTAAAGCAGTCAAGAGATGGCTGCAGCTGTGTGGAGAAAAGTAGAAAAATCTATAAAGTTAACAAGTAAAATACACCTTGAAATGTTAATATTAGTGTTTTAGTATTTAGCCAAGTTTATTGATTGTTTAAGTTGTCCTGGTATCTTCTAGAGGTTATTAAAACTGTTGTAACTTACTTTTTGCTGACCTGGTTTCAGATTAGTGCTGCACTGTACACTTAGAAGTTTAATTTAAAGAGTTTGTTACTGAAAAATGTCATTAAAATAGAGCTGCAGTTCTGTATTTCTGGCCACAGGTGGCAGTTATCATTAGGAACCTCTGTAATGCCTCTTTAATTAATCTAAGAAATTAATTAGATATGAAACTTTAAGTATGCAGTTCATGTGTCCAGAGGCACAAGTAATTTGAAACATACTTAGCGAAACTGAGTGTGAATCTTTTTAAAATGTTTCAGATGATGAGGGACCTGACCCACCGGAACAGTTCACTGCCATTAAACTGTCCGACTCACGGTAAGTTCACAAAAACAGTTTTATAATCATTATACAGCTCCGTTCATTACTTTGTCTGAAGATTTGTTTCACAAGTAATTTACCAAGTAGTCTCTGATTACCAGCTTCGTCTTTTAAAGTTTCCTGTTATGCTTTTGTTTCAGCGTTGGAGCTCAAATACTCAAAAAATACATTTTCTATTTTCTTTTTTTAAGGATTGCTTTGAAATCTGGGTATGGGAAATATCTGGGCATCAACTCTGACGGCTTGGTGATGGGGCGCTCTGACGCCATTGGCTCTAGAGAACAATGGGAGCCTGTCTTCCAGGAGGTAAGTTAATTTATAAATGTTTAATTTGCTTATGTCTGAACCATGTGTGTAACGTTTATTTGCAGGACTTTCTATGTCTAGATCAGGTTTATACCTTACGGCATTTCCATTATTACAAAACAGTCCTATATTAAACTGGCTGCATTGTTATAATTTTTCTACCGATATTTCAGGCACTTCTTGTAGATTATTTACTTCACTTTGTGGTTTTATTATCTAATAAAGTAGTTCACTGTGAATTTTAACATAATATGAAAGCTTTATGAGATTGTTTCAGAGCAGTCGTAGTTAATGACAGAGTTTTTACTTTTTAGTATAATTAAACGTTATTTCCTTTAGGAGAGGGATATCAATGCTTTTTCGACTTTGAGCCAATATTGGCAAAATAAAAGGATTTGGGTGTTTTTGTTTAACTTAATTGTGAATTCTTCTCTTATTACCTTCTCAGCAATGAATTAATAATGTCATATTTTTATGAAGAAAAATAGTCCTGTTTCTATGGAAACTGTTAATAAAAGAAGGGGATTGAGTTTCTTAATTTATTCCTAACAAAGTCAAGTTCCTTACAAAACACCTGCTGTATTTAGCCAGTATTAACAAATAGGTATGCCCAAATCTTTTGTTTATTAAAAAGTATCTTGATGTGTGTTTTTTAGCCTACCTACTATGAAATTGACAATAAAAATGAAACTGGTAATACAAGAGAAATAGTTTTTTTGTTCTAATATTGTCTTTATAAGAAGACATAAAAATATAGTCTCCATCCACACCAGCTTCAGTTTTAATAAGTTTAAACTGTTGATAGACGGCAGTCAGGGATCCCACCAATTTATACCGCAAGTACCAAATGGCCCCTAGGCTGTGCTTTTAAAATGTCAGTTATGTCAGTACTTTTTTTTTTTAAATAGATAAAAGAATATTTTTCAGCAAAAACGGAAGAAAAAACCGTTTGTTTTCAGGATATTCAGTCAAAGATTGGTTTATGTTAAGGCCTTTTGCACTTCTTCACCAGGGGTGCCATCGAGTAGGGAGGGTTAAAAGATCAGAGGCAAAAAAATGTGTTAAATAAAAGTTGAAATAATTTGTTTAAAGGTAAAGTTTCATAAACCTCATCTTAATATCCTTCAGTTTTTTTTTATAACAAATAATTTGTGTTTTATGTTTACTTAAGCATTATCTATTTTTTCTGTGGAAGTCAAAATAAATGTTATTAAGGTGGAACATGTAAATTAAATCTATATCTTAGTGTGATTATTGACTATAAGATCCGCTGGAAGCCTCACATCAAACTAGGGCTAAAACAATTAATCAGGTTAATAGTGATTAATCGATTATTGAAATAATCATCAATTAATTTAGTAATCGATTAATTGTTAACTGGAGTGTAGAGGCTATAAAACATGGCTTTAGATGATGTAAAAGCAATATATAAAACTTTTGCGTTTAAGATAAAAAAATATATATATATTTTCGCTCTATCCAGAACTCCTTAAGTGGAAAAGTTTTAGTTTCACCTAGTTTAATAAAAAAAAATTAAAAAAAATTCTTTAATGAACCTTTGACTGTCTGATTCTTAACTGTTTAATCATAAAAATAATCAACAGATTAATCAACTTGCAAAATAATCGTTAGTTGCAGCCCTACTTTAAATGTGTCCAAATTAAACTATCTAGAAGCAGCAAAATTCTTAGTAAAGCAAAACATTTTCTGGAATAAAAAGCATTACGCATCTCTACTAACCTAATAATATTAAATACATTTATATCTTTGTTAATTTGTTACTTTTTTTTTAAACAATGTTTATGTCAAGGCTCAAGCCTTCACTTACATGGTAAGATATGTGGTTCATTCATTCAACTGTTGAAACGGCGTTGGATTGGATGGGAAAAAACTGGATCGGTTGACTTTTACTTTTGCCATTGACCAAATATTTATTCCAACTAGGGCTGAAACAGTTAATCAGATTAAACATGATTAATCAATTATTAAAATAATTGTAAAATAATTTACCGTAGTAATCGATTAATCGTTAACTGGAGTATAGAACCTGTAAAACATCCCTTTAGCTGACAGATTAACCCACTTAGATTATTAATTTGATCAAAATAAAAATTAAATAATTTCACCCAGAACTCATCAAGTGGAATATATTTAGTTTGCCCTGGTTTAATTCTTTAAAAAATTGTTTTTAATCAACAATTTGCTATCCGATTATTAATTGATTCATTGTAAAAATATTCAACAGATTAATCAATTAGTAAAATAATAGTTAGTTGCAGACCTAACTCCTACACATTCTTGTGAATCTTTATATGTATGTCTTTATACTAGTGTTGCGCCAATGCCATTTTTTGGCCCCGATATCGATACCCGATACCTGGCTGTGCAGTATCGGCCGATACCGATACCATAATAATGTAAAATAATTGCCATCATGGCTTTGTCAAGCTGCTGCCTACCTTTGTGAAGCAGGAAAAAATCTAATACAAAGTGAATCCAGTAGAACTTTTTATTGCCTACCAGGAGTGGGTGACAATAGTTGAATACACTTATGGCTCTCAAAATGGTATCGGTGCCCTATTTGTTGGTACTCGCCGATACCGATACCACCATTTTAGGGCAGTATCGGGGCCCCGTCCGATACTGGTATCGGTATTGGTGCAACACTACTTTATACACATAAATAAGTCTATTTGCTCACTTACTGGACTCTGGAGCAGTATGGACTCCTAAGTGAAATAGGAACCGTGAAGATTGTTGATGTGGAGGACTAAAAGAAGTGAGAATTTTAAATAAGTTTCAGTTCTCTGTATGCCTTTTCAGACATAGGAACTAAATTATATAATTATATAGATCATTATTTATACATGTTTGTATGTGTTAAATTTTGAATTTTACTGTATTTTCTTAAATAAAAGTTATTTATTTGTTTACCTTTAGAAGCCGTTTGTTATTTTCTTGATGCAAAGGATGGCAGGTTAAAATTAGCCCAAGCAACAAAGCAATCAACCTGTCATTCTGGCCCTGACAATCCGTTGATTGTTTTGGCATCTTGTTAAAACCTTCTTTTACTTTAAAGATCTGGGATTTTTTATGTTTCTGTCACAATAACTCATTGCAATTGGGTTTAATCTTTGTTTTTTTGTCTGCCCTACTTCAGGGTAAAATGGCGCTGCTGGCTGCAAATAGCTGTTTCATTTCCTACAGTGACGATGGAGACATTGTGGCCAAGAACAAGACGGCAGGAGACAACGAGATGCTTAAGGTGATGGATTGGAATTTTTTGGTCCAAGGATTTATGTTAATCCTTAGAGTTTTTGCACAGGCAGTCTCTGCAGGGATTCGACAGCTTAAAGAGAAGGGGGGGGAAATGTTAGCCACCTCACTTCAGGGAGGTCATGGTGTTATTGTTTAATGCACAACATCTGTCTTTGTTTTTTTCTCTTCCTGATAAATAGATCCGGACTAATGCAGAACGAGAAGTCAAGCATAAAGATGACATTGCAGATGAAGACAGAGGAAATGTAAAATCCTGTGAGGTCAATTATGTGTAAGTTATCACTGTTTACAGGAATATTGCTCAATAGCTATGTTCACATGAGCATAAGTAATTAGAACAAATGGACTATTGGACTAAAAATGTGTCATATAAACATTAGTCGGGATATTCTGATCAGATTCAGCAGGATCAGACTATCATCACTTTTAATTTGACCGTTGTGGTTTATGCTGATTTACAGTCCGTTTGGCAAACATGTCGATGCTTTTCAAGATCAAGTTATCCAGAATGAGGCAAGCTGACCTAAATACACGTGTGTACCACACTTCAGCGTTGCATATTATTGCTTTGGATGGCTTGATGTTAGAATATTCTAATAGGCAAGTTTATGTGACATATTTTTATTCCGATTGGCTGTTTTATTCAAATTACTTATGTCCATATGTTTTTTTTCTAAACTTATTTCAATCTACGGGAGCCTATAGCATTCACCTTAAAAGAAAAGAAATTGTTCTGTTTTTGCGGAAGTAATGAGGTAATTCAAAACAAATGAATAAAAATGTGTGGTTGTTCTGAATCAACGAGATCATTTTACAAAATAAATAAAAATATATTTTTTTCTTAGTTAACAAGATAACGCTGCTGTGATTTCATAGAGGATGTTCTGTTACTGATGGTATCGCAGATTTCTAAGCTAGAGATGCCTTTCCTTCCAGGAAGCTTCAACATGTTTCATTTGTTGAGTTCATTTTTAAAATATTTTTTATGTAGGGATTGAAACACTGGGATCACTACTAGTTTGTTGTCTTTGTTAAGGCACCTACGTGCTACTCATGACACAGTTGTTCCCCACCTTCCTCTTCTCTTCACAGTTGATTTTGTTAATTCAGACATTTATTTCTTATTTTTCCAAAAATGAGGGTTTATGCATGTAAACAGCCATTTATGCACTAAATATAGCATTCATGTTACATCAGTGATAAACAGCTTTTGTGTGCAGCTACATGTGTGGAAAACAAACATAACAAGTTGTTCATTTCATAATTAGGGTAGTTTAATCATATTTGAAATGTTTTTTTTTTTACATGTATGTGTTGTACTAGTTGAGATATAAAATATTCCACTACAGTAGACAGGAACTGAAGGTAAATTAATGGGTTGACTTGCTTTCTGATTAATGAGCTGATAATTATCTTAACAACTGCAATGAATTCAGACTATTGAAACTTTAACCCCAGGTGGCCAGTTAGTCCTTTCATTATTAACACTCTATCCTGACTCCACAGAACCCTAATTCAAACATCCACGTTGTAATATGAGAAAAACTCCTAAAGACAAGACAGTATATAATGTTTATTTATTGTTGCTGGTGAAAAGCCGTCATTTTCAGATCGTTGAAAAGATATCAAAAACTGGGTTTGCAATGTCTTTTCAACATCTATAAATGGACTACATTGAGACAAAATCAGACCGACCAAACACAGCCCAATTTTCAACAAATATTTCTGGACAAAATCAAGACTATGAAGGACCGAACAGATTTAGCCTAAAAACCAACGTGTAAATGACGTCTGATGTTTGGGGGGTTAGACCCATGTAGCTCCCATTCACTAATAATCCAGCTGACACTGCAGGATGGGAACCCTTGCAACAAAATCTTTTTTTTTTTTTTTTTCCCCAGTCTAATTTAAAAATTACTTGTATTTATGTACAAGATCAGTTTTCACTGAGTCATTTTTAAATTCCATTTACTGTTTACTTGGGTACATCTGTTGTTAAATGTTATTAGTTAATTTTTCCCCCTCTCTTCAGTGATCTACAGGTTCCTCCACATCAGTCTCATCGACACTGACAGATTCAAACAAATTTCTTGGCCATTGTACCCCCCTTTGTGTGTGTCTAGCCTGTGTTTTTATTTATACGTTGAAAGGCACTTGCTGTTGTTCAGGGTTATAGAAAATGAGATTACGGTACTTATAATTAACTGATTAATTGAAAGGGAGCTCACATGTTAGAGTGCGGTCTTAGCAGCTCAGCAAAGAGCAACAAACTCATTTGAAAATGTTAGTCGCAGTTGAAGTATTGGTGGTTTTAAAAAGAAATATCACAGATGTCCTGTAATTGCTTTGCTTACTGTTTTTGTTTAGATGATGGCTTAGCTCCTGAGGTCTGCGTGTATCATTAAATCCATATTGCTTGTGCAATTTGGCCTAAACGCTGTCGTGACACTGGCTGTGTAATGATGCTGTATGTTTCAATAAGCAGATACACCTTTTCAATTCCTCTAAAGTTAGTGCTAAAGCATTTATTCGAATCGGGGAGACGGATAAAGTGGTTATTACTCAAATGGCTTTTGTTTGTTTTTACTTGTCAGTCTGTCCTAGCAGGAGTTTGACAGCTAAACTGCACACTTGAATGAGATCCCGCGTTTAAGCATCCGCCTCATCAGTGCCATCATTCAGAGGTGCTGTTGATGGTCTGCTGTTAGCGTGATGAGAGGGCAAATAACACATTTCAGCTTCTGACTGTTTTTTATGCAGCCTATAAAAGGTGCACAGAATATGTCTTTCTTTTTGTGGGGGGTTGGCATGCTTTAGATTGTGTTTCCACTCCGTTATTTGTTTTAGATGAATGTTAGGAAAATGGACTCATCATGGTGACATGTTGATAATGGCTGCCCTTGAGCCTTGTGCCGTGATGAAGTGTTTAGCTGGTGAAATGCCTTTCAAGATGGAGTGCAGTCTGGTGATCATCAAACTCTGGCTAAGCAAGGAGAAACTAGATGTCAGTGGAAGTTTCAGGCAAAAAGGGCCTCAGGTTGTTTCCAGCACTGTTACAGATATATGGGTGATATTGGAAGGTACTTTCACTGTCTAATTGACCCGCTGCTTGAATTATTACACCGTATGGCTGCCACAGACAATATGCACTGATACCTTTTTTTTTTCAATGTTTTTTTTTTACTGCTAAGAAAATCAATAACACCCTTTACCATTGCATGCTCCTTTTGTTTCCACCATAACTTTTTTTTTTCTCTGTATCGCAGGAAAAAATTTCAGAGTTTTCAGGACCAACGACTCAGAGTTAATGAAGAAGACGCCACTAAGCTCAAGAAAGCCAGGATGGATGGAAAATTTCACGAAGCTTTGCTGGACAGGTAGGAAAGCGAAACTACACAAGAGGTTCACACATAGTTTAGATAGTCTTTTACCTTTTTCCAGACCTGGATTTAAATGAGATTAACACAAAAAAGGTTTTGAAATTTGTATCTATGTGCCTTCATCTCCCAATAAATGACATTGCAGTTTGTGGCTCTAATGCAACAAAATCTGAAGCTCAATTGAAAGGAATACTTTTTTTAGGAACTGTAAATGACAAAAGGCAAACAAACATTTTTAATCCAGTTATCTTATGATTATCTGAGTTTGTTTGTTTGTTTGTTTTTTGCTGCAATAAAATGAAGTTTTTTAATTTTGAATTCTGTCACTCCTAACTTTTAACTAAGACACTAAATTATGCATTTAACAAAGGCATATGTTAAGTAAACTTAGCTAACGTCCCTACGGGATCAAATTTCTTGTCTTATCCAATTCCATTCAGTGTATTTATATAGCGTCAATTCACAACGCATGCCATCTAGGCACTTTATAGTTCACCAGATCATTCGAAATTTTGTGTCTAAGAAAAACCAGTTGATTGCATCAACTCATTGAGTTGAAGGCAATCCCTCACACTAAAATTGCTTGTAGCGGCAGTGGAGAGGAGTTTTTTTTTTTTTTTTTTCCTGAGTTTTTGCGGCACTAGTGTCTCGCTTTTTTGACAGTAGGACAGTTTTTGACAGGAAAGGGGTTTCCATTTGCATGTTTCCAAGCAATACAAGGCCTTGTCTATATAAAGCCTCAAACTCACTGTGGATCCAGACATTTGAATTGAGAAAACTTCCTGGAGGGGAAGCGAAACGTCTTCAAACCTTGGAAACCAAGTCCAGGGGATTGTTTTTAAACTTTTACGGAATGACTATAACCTGGACGACTGAGAATCTTCATCAGCATGCTGACAGGAAAGGGGTATGAGAGAGGGGGATAGACATGCAGCAAAGGACCACAGGTCATTTTCGAACCCGGGTCAGCCGTGTCGAGGACTAAGGCCTCCGTACATGGGTTGTGCACGCTAACTGCTGTGCCACCTTCACGCCCCTCCCCATTTGGAGTTATTTTAATTATAATTAGATTATCATGATTTACTCCTTTGGGAAACTTTTCTAATTTATTAGATTTTGGTCGTGGGCAATGCACTGTCTAAAAGAAGTAATGAGTGGGTAACAGTAGAGAAGTGGCAGAGAGGTGTGTTAAACTATGACTCTGCTTCATGGGCTGCACCCTGGGTTGTCAGGGTTTTGGAAGACTAAGGAACATGATAAAGTAAATATATCAAAAGTAATTTAGAATACTTTAATTTACTAAAGTGTTGAAGAAAGAAATATGTTCTGTGCATGAAAACAGTAAAATTAAAGAGTTTAATATGGATTGCCATTTTAACATTCATCGCATTAATTATAAAAATGTCTGACTACAGCAGAACTTCTACTCCTGAGTTGTACTGACATTTAAATGTCTTTCTTTGTTTGCAGGAGAAGCAAAATGAAAGCAGACAGATACTGCAAGTGAAGACTCATGTATTTCTACCATGTTTTAAATAAAATCCTGTTTTTTTGCAGACTGGGCATTTTTGGTTCTATTTTTTTTAATAAACCTTTTAATAGTTTAATTTGGTGTGTTGCTTATTGCTTTGACTGCTATATATGTTCATACCTTGTGATTATGGCCTAAGAATTTCAGGTGATCCACTGGCCTTTCAAAGTAAATAATTAACCAGTTTGTAGCCACATTGCTCTGTAGTATCACTGGTGGCTACAGGGTTGCCTGCATGATCGAACTGCTTCTAGAACCGTATAAATAACTAAATGTATGATCGATTTATCTAAAACTTAATCAGTTTTTCTTCAAGCTTTATGTTACATTGAAGATATTATCTATAAATAGATGTAAATTTTGTCCTCCCTGTAGGAGAAGTTTGCTTTGGACTGTGTGCTAGAATAAAACAATCTACAGCGCGGTAAAGGGACAGGCATAAGTGAAACAAAGGCTGAATACAGCAGGTGTTGGTGTCCATAAAGGTTTATCCCTTAGTACTTGAATTCATTATTTACTGGTTTGCTTGTGTGTGAAATGCATAAAATCATTGGTGCAATAAATTAATTGTAGCACAAATGTGCTGTACATAATGGAAAAGAAGAGGTAAAGAGGCATAAGCCTAATTAGAATTAGAAAGCAGATAGCTTTTTGCTCTGAAAAATCATTAAGTTTTATGACCTGACTAAAATTATTAACCAGTCAGGGGCATTAGGTATTCAGGAAGCCCAAAGCTGATTTATTAGAGAAGAAAAATTAAGAGCCGTTTTATATTTTGTAGCATTGATCTTTTAAATATTGAGTTTATGTACTGGTTTACCCAGGGGCCCTGGATTAGTTCTACATGCACAAATCAGAGCAGTTTGAGGGCCAAACTTTTTAGTGTCGCATATTTATAAAATCTCACCTTGAAAAGTAGGAAAACTAAGATGTGGAGTGATTGAGCAATGTGTAACTTGAACATTAAATTAGATATCTTTAGGTCTTACAAAAGTATTCACACCCCTTAAGCATCTGTTAACACTGGTCTTAACTTTGACTAGACCATCCTAACCCAGACGCACTTCCGCATGGGGCTTAAGAGTCCTGGTTGATTTGAAATATTCAGATTGAGAGTGTGATTAGGAAAGAAGCTTGGAACTACTCAGTATCTGCTTACTACTCTGCATAGGGTGGCAATTCTTTGTGTAATGGGGCTCTGGCCACAAGCCTTCAAATATTTGTGTTCCCTTCATATGAATTTCTTATTCAGCCACTGTCCTATAAAATCCAGGTTTATGGAGTACTTCTGCTGTCGTTTTATTCTACAACCGATTCTACCCATCCATTATTACCATGGGCCTCTAGGAGGCTTCTCTGAGGGACACTCCTCTTTCCTATCTTGTAGCTGTTAAGGGGTCTGTTTTACAGTAGGCTGAAAGTTCAGCCATAATTTTTCTTCTGTGGCATGAAAAAGAACTGTCATAGGTATAAAGCTTGGGACATTGTTTTAAGAACTAACCCAACTCCATTATAATATTTATTCACCTTCTCCTACAAACCTCTAAAACTTTAACAAAACAATTCTGTTTACCAATTAAGTGATTTGTGAAACGTTTTAATTTGCAGATCTTTTATTGAGGAATGTTTTATTCAAATGGGCTAAATAGAAATGCACACACTTAAAAAAAAAAAGTCAAATTTATTATCTTTCATCCACACAGTACTGGTTAAATAAGATTGTTGTAACATGAAAATGTGAAATAAGAATTCCAGGTATTATAATTGCCTAGGTAATGTTCCTGTGGGCAAATCACTCCTATTGGTTTAATAATGGAAATGTTTTTATTCTTATTGTATCAATTCTTTGATAAACCTAATAAAAATAAAAATCTAATGTTCTCAGTATTTCTGTAAAAGTACACAGCAAGATATTTTATTGATAATTGGAATTAGGCCACAACTTTATCGAAGTAAAAACATACTGGAAAAGGTTTTAACTCTAGACTCCAATAGTTGAGTAAAATACTTTAGTTCTGCTTTCTTAATTCAGTGAACTTTGACACTCCAATCTTTAAGGACAAATTTAAGTATCCTTGAAGTCTTCACCTACTTTTCTTAGTCTAATGTGCTATAATGGCCATAGTACTTTTCTTATTGCTCCTGAATCAATATTTTACTCTTCTTTAGATAGTCTTTGTATCAATTTAGGGCATCTTTTTTCTTTTTTTTTTTTTTTTGTCAGCTACATCAGTTTAACAAATCAGGACCAGGTTTATCCTCTTAGACACATTTTTTTCTTTCAAAATAGGTGATATTGAGTTACAAGAGTAGATTATCCGACTACAATGTGTTATGTTTGATTCTTTCAGATTAAATTTTAATTCTATCTCCCAAATACTCATCTTAAGCTGCGTTGATGATCCTAAAGCTGAAGCTGCCACTGTTGATGATCCTCATGCTGAAGCTCTTACTGCTCTTACTCTAACCAAGACATAAAGTTGTAGGATAGCTAAATAACTCAGAGAACTGGTGTGAACTATATTTATCAAGTAAAAAACGCAATAATCTGTGACAGATTTTGAAAAAATTTGCACATTAAAATATTTTAACCTTTTGACTAAAAACCATTATATCCAATGAGTAATGAGTACATGATGAAACAGATCAATACCATTAAAGACGTAAGTGTAAAATTAAGAGCAATGAGACAAAAAAAGATAAAAACAAGTTAAGAGAGAATTAAACATTGATGTAAATCAGATAAAGCCACTGAAATCTGCCACTCATTATTTAATGTTTACAGCTCAGTTAAATAATGAATTAAATGGCTTTGGATCATTTTCACGATACAAAATGCTGAAATGAATGAGGAATGCAGCGGCCATGTTTGCGCCTGGGGGCCAAATGTTTAGCAGTCTGTCTGTGTTGCATCCTTTTAATGGAGAGTTTTGTTCATCTTTCTTATCGAATACAAAACCAAATGTAAAGAGACTCGGTGTAGAAAATCTGTGCTTAACAAACATGCTTGGTCACTGTTTCAACATAAAAGGCAGGAGTCACATGCAGGACTGAACGTTATCTACCGCATGAGTGGGAGTGCGGTCAACTTTCATTTCCGCATGGAACAAACCACCAACATCAACACTGAGGGGGGGAAAGTGGACGGTTTGAATTGGGAAATTTGTATCTGTAAAATTAAAAGCCACATTTTAATACATTCGTATAATTTAGCTATAAGTAAAACAACAACACATGTTTATTTATATTTTTACTGAGTGGCTGAGGAGCTGTTTTCCTTCCTGATAATGGGTCAGCCCGAAGTCACGAGGAGAAACGGTAACTTCCGCAAACTGGAAGGGTCTCCCAAACACAAACAGAAGCAGGAAAACATCCTGGCTTCAGTGAGACTGTTGACATGGCTCGCTGGGTTTTCCTTCTTTCGGTCGCTTTTTTCTCCGCTACATCGGCACAGTTTGTGCCACCGGTGAGTTACAAACCACTCAGTCAATCCTGGCTAGTATAGTTGTACTAATATCAGGTTATTTACAACTCTGTCATGTCTCCTCAGTACACAGAGGACTGTCGGACTGACATGTATCCTCCGAATGGTCCAACGTAAGTACAAACTGCTGAGTCATTTATATGTTTGATAACCGTTTGGGACTAAACCCTGCTGCGTTCACTTGCTTCTGGAAATCTCATTGCTACTTCAGTTGCAGCCTTATTCTTAAACGTTTGCAGACCAAATAGAGATATACCAATCCAATATCAGAAAAAAATAAATAATAATAATATCACATGCACCTAAAATCTCTGATATTGACATGCTGTTAAAAACAGTGTTCCCCTCTAACTTTTATGAAACTCGTTAGTTAATAATACATAGTCAATTATTGACACGCCTATTGTTGACTCATTTTCTCCGTATGAGTAATATCAATCAATCAAACCTTTTCCAACATCCTGCTCTACAAAATAAGTGTTAAGAATATGTTTGATTCATGCTGATATATTATAAGTTAAACATTAGTATTCGATTCTCTGTGTTTTCTCATTACATGTGTGGGTTGTGAAGTGCGTGCTTATGAGAATGGTAAACGTGACAATCTTTAAATATGGCTGTAAGAAATCCTTGCCTAAACATGTCCGCATGTACAGTCAGAGTAATGAATGTGTAACACAACTGGAACTGGCAAATAAGGCAGGAGAATCGTGTTTACCTTTATATCATGGCGGGAGGATTAGAGGAATCATCGAAGTTCAATATCAGAAGTTTTTAAGGGCATTTTACACGTTTTTTATCAGGGTTTACAACAACTTTAAACCCAAATGCTCCCACCATGAAACACAGCAATACCTAGCCTTATTATCCTGCCAATAACCGCATTCAAAAAGCATAGCACAGATTATGCTTTCTCATTATGAATTTCTACAATTTCCTTCGTAAAAAATCAAATGAATGGTACAGAATATTCACAACAGCACATTTTAGGATGTCCTACACCTATTTTTGTTTTTGTTTTCTTCCTGTACAGGTTCAAAGGACCTGTCAAATGGTACACCATTGATCTGGACCTGCCGCCCAGCAAGAGGTGGACGGCTGTGATCTCTGACAAAAAAAATGACGTAAGAGAATTACCAGCTCCTGAAAAACATCAGTTGTGACTCAACAAAAGTGTCAATCAGGATGTCATTTTTTGCAGCTGGTAGATATGATCCAGGCCATCAGAGACTTGGCCGATGCTTTTGTGCCCAGCGGGAGGCTGATAGAGCTGGTTGACATCGCACTGGTGAGAGTCAGAGTGATTTCTGTTTTAGGTTTGTAGGGAAAGTTTTCCTCATTGCATTGTGCTTTTCTAATGTTTCACAGCCTTTAATGGTGGACACACTCCCAAACCCGTTCAGGGAAGAAATCAAGGGAATAGCTGCTGTCTCAGGGGTTCCTCTTGGTAATAAAAAAAAATATACAACAACTCCACTTGTGGCAAAATTAAAAAAAAGAATAAGCCAAACTAACCTCTGTCTTTTTCTTTATATTTAAGGTGAAGTAGTTTTGTTTAACATTTTCTATGAGGTTTTCACTGTGTGCACTTCTGTTGTTGCACAAGACGAAAAAGGTGAGTACCTGAGAGAAACTGGTTTTAAGAACCAGAGAAATTACCAAAAAAAAACACCTTTTGGACTAAAATTTAATGTTTTTTGTTTTTTTTATTTCAAAGGGAAGCTCCTCCATGGCAGAAATTTGGATTTTGGATTATTTTTAGGGTAAGAACATCAAGGATTAAACTGTTTATTTTTTGACAATTTTGTTGGATGAAAAATCCAAACATGTGATGCGTTTTATTTGGATAGAGACCATTACACCCAAGTGACTTTGAGTCACATTCCTTGTTCATTTGAAGTTCTCCTGTTTGTAGTTTAATATCTGCATAAATTAGGCTGGTCTGTAAATGCCACAGAGAAGTGACCAAACATCATGAAAACCAAGAAAGATCAGAATCACCTTGTGTAGAAATTCAGTGTTTCTTTAAAAAAATAACAACATACAAAGCTTTGTACAGTGTTCACAGAGCTGTGTTCAATCTAAAATGATCACAATTATATTGCAGTGGTCCATAACCAAAAGTTGCAATAAAAAGCACTCATATTTGAGGTTGTGATGTCACAATGTGCAAAAAGGTTAAATATGAATGAATACTAGAATACTTAGTTTCAGTTTTTGCTGCTATGGTTGCATCTAAACACGTGTTTCTTTGCAGCTGGGATGTGAAAAACAAGTCATGGGCCATCAGTGAGAAGCTGAAGCCTCTGGTGGTCAATCTGAACTTCAAGAGAAACAACCAGACAGTCTTCAAGTCAACAAACTTTGCTGGCTATGTTGGCATGCTCACCGGCATCAAGCCTGTAAGACATTATCAAGAAAATCTGCCTTAATCACCAGCTTTTATTTCCACACTTGGGGAAACAATGATATAAAAACAACTTCTCCTTTTTGTGTAGCACATTTTCACTCTGACAATGAATGAGCGCTTCAGTCTTGATGGTGGATACATCGGTAGGTTAACAGCCGTACGTTTTTCCACAATGTATAAGTACTTTGTCTTTTTGTGATGGCTAGTTATGGCATATTTGCATGCAGGAATCCTGGAGTGGATCTTGGGACAAAGAGATGGAATGTGGATGAGCTTTCTAACTCGATCAGTCCTGGAGAATGCAAACAGGTACATTACTTTGATATTTAAAGCGCATCTGTGAAGTTAATAAACTTCACAAAAAAACTATTTAAATATTTTTCATTTCTTATTTTTGACCTTGAAGATGAATCAATGTTGTCACTATTATGCAGAATCATACTCTACAATAGCAACATGAAAGAAATACGGCTTTGATGCTAATGTGATGCAAAGCCATCTCTGAAGTCTGCATCAAACTGATAAATTTTTAAAAAATTAGACAATCTAAATTATGCCAGATTAAGAGGAAGGAGTATGACGATACAAGACAGAAACAGCATAACAATTTACCAAAAATTTATTAAGACCTGAGATTAAAAGCTGGTTTTTCTGTTCATGAAAACTGGATGCCAGAAGTGAGTTTTGCTTTGTTCCCATCAGCTATGATGAAGCCAAGAGTCTGTTGGCTCAGACCAAGATGCTTGCTCCAGCCTACTTCATCCTTGGAGGAAACCAAACGGGACAAGGCTGCATCATCACCAGGTCCAGGGAACTCAGCATTGACGTGTTGGAGTGAGTAGTACAGTATAGTTTCATTTAGTCTTAATTTCCTTTTTTTTTGTTTTAATAAACTCTAGAGGCGTTTTGATTTGTTTGGCCCTTTTCTTAAATCATGAAAATCAAATATGTTGAATCAATAAGTAAATTAAAATGTTCTGATATGTCCATCTCTCTGCTTTCAAACACTCAGTGCTTTGTGAAAGGCCCAGCTACATTACAGGATTTGTTTATTTCAGGATTGATGTGAAACTGGGCCGGTGGTACGTCTTGGAGACAAACTACGACCACTGGAAGGAGCCTTTCTTTCTGGATGACCGCAGGACTCCTGCCATGAAGTGTCTGAACCAGACAACACAGGCTGTATGTAGTGATAGCTGTCAAGGAGTGGAATAAATGACTACCTGAAGTATTTTAGATCAAAAGTCTATATTACGTCTTTAGTTTCCTCATTTATTGATCTGATCATATCTTTTTCAGAACATCTCTGTGAAAACCTTGTATGATGTGCTTTCAACAAAGCCAGTGTTAAACAAGGTGAGTGTCCTCATGTCAGGATGTATTTACTGACAGAAGTATTTTTGCCCAGATCCACCCTGCAGGTGCATAGCATGTGACAATACACCACTCTAGTACATTGTACTCAACCATCACCTTTCTATTGATCTGATTCTTTAACAAGTAGGACTTTAAATTTTCCAAGATATAGGTAGTTTATTATAAACTAAATGTGTTCACATTGACCAGATAGTTAATGTATGCCATGTTAACAATGTTATTACTGATTAATTACTCAGCTCGCCATGCTGAATGCTTGGAATGGGATTTAACTTAACTCTTGTCCTAGTTTGTCTTTACATTTCATCTCAAAGCGCACACAATTTAAAATCGGGGCACATCAAAAATTATTTTTCAACTTTGAGTTACAAAGTGTACCTAATTTCAACATTCAAGTCCATAGAAAACAGTTTTAAGAGATGCAGATATACACAAGCAGATAAACGGTATCACTACGTATGAATTATGGTGTACAGTCTGCAGCAGGGAGGGCATCCAGCTAAAAACTTTGCAAAGACTGATGACTTTCTATGGCTATACCTTAATAAGGGAGCAGCTACAAGGAAACAAAATATGTATGAAATACATTTTGAAGGCATTTTATTTTGTTTCAGCTGACCACCTACACGACACTGATGCAAGTCTCTGAGGGCACACTGGAGTCGTACATCCGGGACTGTCCAAACCCATGCATGCCCTGGTAATCCTCCAAGCACCAACCGTGGGAGAGTTTGAGATGCTGCACAGAAGACTCGACTCAAAGCTTTGCACAGCAACTGTAGACCTGAACCATTCCATGTAACATTAAAGTCGTTTGGACTTTGATTTCTGCTGACTATGGTGACATGTTAAGTTCAGAGGGCACTTTTTCAGCTTTATGAGAGAAACTAAACCTCTAATTTTGTATCGTCTTCTTTAATTCTTTGTACTACTGTGAGAATCCAGCTTTACACCCAAATGTGTTTTTATCAACGATGTCTGACCAATGAACCTCAGTGATGACCACTTTATTTTTCAAATGTTTAACAAATTATTTCCCAGATTTTATGCTGTTTTTTGTAACAGGATTTTTATGTTTAAAATAAGATTTAATCTACCAAGTAAGGATGTGACTGAATTATTTTGAAAAGTCGATTCATCAGCGTGATATAGAGTCATTCAGTTTATTATCACAAAAAAAGAAGGATGTTACAGGTTTCAGGATGATGCTGAGAGGAATCACTTGAGTGAAGAAACACTTCATCTAACAGCAAAGCCGGTCTATTTGCCCCTTTTCCATATATACATACACTCACAACTAGAAAAAAAGTACACTGTCAATTCCAGAGCTTTAATAAATCATAAGGTACTAAAATTGCTTAAATCCAACCTTAGGTGTAAAAACAAAGAAAATCTTATGATGAAAAACTTGGCCAAACATGGCTGAAAGTCACAAAAGCAGAAAACACATAAAACCCTAAAACTAGGAGGGTGTACTTAATTTTACTTAGGCTACATTTCTTGTAACAGCAGCTGATTGAACCGTTATCTCTTTAGGATTATGGTGAAAAGATGAGCTACAGCAGGCCAGGCAAATACAAGTAAAACATGCGAGAAAATGTTTGTCAAACTAATCCCACAACCAAGAAATTATCTGAACAAGGGATTCAGGACAGAAAGTTAAATATAATCAGTAAATTACACTGAAAACAAATGGTAACCTTCATGCCTCTGCAGTCATTTCATTGGATGCTCAGCAGGCATTCGTTCAAATTGAGCGGGATCGTTCGTTTTTGGTTCTCCAAAAAACAGGAATTAGTGATAAATTTATGACATTACTAAAATTGCTCTACGCTCACCCCAACTCCTGTTTTGACTAATCATGACAGGTCTGCCTCTTTTTCATTACATCGCAGAACCAGACAGGGGTGCTGTCTCTCACCGTTGCTATTTCCATCAGGATCCATGCGTTGATCACCAGTATTTCGGATTATGCTACAGATTGGTCCTATTGGCCTTTATGCGGACGCTGGTATCGTGACTCAGATGTCTCA